CCCCCTTTTTTTCCTTTTTAGTCCAGAAAGAATGTTGACTCACCAAGTGGAATTCTCTTATCCTGCCGCTCAGAAAATCTCTTATTAGTTGTAAATTAATTACATCCAAAAGTGTTTAAGAAAGTGAGGCTTGTGCGAACCTTGTGTCCATATAGGCTGTATCATGGCTGTGAACTTATTGAAATCCCTTGACTCCCAGCTGCTCAACTCATGAGTCAACTGCAAAAACCTCAGTTCCTGCAGTTTAGTCACAAGGAGCAGCTATCTGTAGTGCAAGTGGGCAATCTCAAGATATCTCTATCTGGAAAGACAGAGCCGGCCAGAATTTGCCATTTGGTGGCCAATCTCTGCTGCAATGCCGTCCCTGCTCCTTCAGGGATGTCTAGTCCACTATAGATCCTCACCTGGAAACAAGAACCACTGAGATTTCTGAAAATATCTTTATTGCTAGAGGGGCATTGTAACAGAATCTTGAAAGTTTGTCAAAGCAGTTCTCCAGATTAATTTATACCTGGCATAATTGAGGTGGAGTTACTTTCTAATGTTCCCCCCCTCCCCTGGACTAAGGAATGTTTTCTATAATGTTCCAACTCCCTCTAATAACAATGTTGCTCTTTCTGTCATGTTCTTAGTGTCCGTTGCACATTCCATCATAGCTATCCAGTGGCTAATGGAATGTCACATGTAAAACTCTCAAGCAGAAGTCATGTGTATGCTTGGTGCAGTTTGCTCATGATTGTTAAGATAACAATCTTAACAATCTCCTTTCCTTCTTTCCTTCTTTCCTCCCTCCCTTCCAGAGGTACTTCTACTGTATAGCCAGTCATGGTGCCTCATTCATAGTCTTGTGTAAAATGTTGAGATTACCTTTAATTAGTTTTTCTCCCATTCTTTTCCACTACTTGTACTGTACTGGTTTTCTTTCCAGAGAAAATTTGATAAGAAGTAAATGATGGAAGACTGCATAATGCTTTTGATGTGTAACACCAAGAGCTGTCTTTCTGAAATCATCACCCGGAGTAAGAGTGCATCTGCAAGGACTAGTTAAAAGACATAATGCAACTACTATATCTTTTCCTTCTTTGTGTTGATATGTAACACATTGAGATTCAAATCCTCCAAATCTGATTCATGTACATGGCCAAATAGAAGTGAGGGTATTTCTTAAGCAGTGGGAAGTGTTGTAGGGCAAACTGGCCAATATAACTAGGATTGGTTTCACTTGGACTGAAATGCTGATACATAAGATGCAAAAGATTATAGAGTAATAAGTATACTGCAGATTATTTATTTATTTAAGAGTTTTTATATCCCATCCAACTCAAATGACCCTGGGTGGAGATAAGTTAGAAGTATAAACCCAACAATAAAATAAATCAAAATTCTAAAAGCAACAGTAGCAGTAAATCAACAGTGATAAGTCTCCCCCACAATGGACACCAATAAGACTTAGCTAGAGTTGAAAAGTGGTAAAGTAAAACTGTTTTTAAAAATATTCTAAAAGCTGTGAGAGAGGGAGGTTTAATGCACCTTCAGGGGTAAGGAGTTCCAAAATAAGGGGGTCACCACAGAGAATGCCTTTTGTCTCATACATGTCCTCCTCACCTTACTAGGCCTTTCCACGATGTTTTGACTGGATGGGCAGATTCAATTCTAGCAAGGTAGTGCCTGATGCTATGGTGTATAGGGCTTGTAGGTCATTACCAGCTCCTGAATTGGGCCTGGAAGCCTATTACTAACCTGAGGCAGTGACTTCAGGAGAGATATTACCCTGAAGTGGCAGGATTGTGCTGACTCCACTCTCACCATTTTTGCTATTGCTTTCAAAGGTGGCTTTTTTTTCTTCTTGCTTTTTTTTTCACATTGGGCTGTGACTTTAGTGGCAGAACTAATTACATTTTTACTTAATTCTTGCATGAGTTCTTATTAACTTTTCCTCTCAGAATAAGACTGTCACAAGATAGCATCACTTGGAATGGGGAAGAGGGAGAGAGGATCTGTGGGCACTACAGGCAACGAGAATGTATGTATTTTTAAATCTTTAAAAGGAATCACTTCAATCATTCTCCAGGAGAAAAGAGGGCTGAAAATTTCTGGAATTTCAGATTCCATTTCTTGCTTCATTTTTTTTAAAACTTCCTGTTTCCTACTTTCCAAATTATAAGAACTTCCAAAAGAACATTAGGAGGCTAATGTAAACTGGCCTCTAGTGGATACCTGACAGACACATGGAAACTTCCAGTCTGGGATGAACTCCCTCTGATGTAAAATGTATAATGGTAAATGAGAAACCTTTGAACAAGTTAAAGTCCTAAATAAAACACATCCTGGCCTGAGATCTGCCTCCTGTTCTAGGACTGCTAGATTATTATTCCCATCCTGCCCAGGCATTAGGCTTAGCATCATAAAACCTTTATTCCTGCGATGGAATGGAATTATGAAGGCCAGACTCAGGGAGGGAAGCATCCTCTTTCGTCTCCTTGAAGGGCGGGGAAGAGATAAGAGGATGAGGCTGGCACTTCCCTGAGGAATTCG